CAGGGCTGGCCAGCTAAGGGCATGCGTCTGTCTTGCCCAAGTCCCAGCTGGTCTCAGGGCCAGGTCTGCAGCCGCCCCTGTGGCGGGAGAGGTGCGTGCTGCGCGGCCACTGCCAGTGGTGCTGCTGGGGTGAGGGGCCCCTCCCGGGTGTCCCACGGAGCAGCCCAGCCAGTGAGGGGAGAGATGGAGACAGAAGGGGACAGAGCTGCACAGCAGCAGGCTGAATGCTGTCCTGAGACTGCTCCAAAGACACCCCCCATGGGTGCACACACAAGCACACGCACATGTGCACTCACACACGTGGGCACATGCTCACGAATGCACACACTCTCAATGTGCTCAGTGATGTGGGGCCTGGAGGGCGGGGGCGGGGCTGGCCCACCTGGGGACGTGCTGCGGCCCTGTCCCCTGCTTAGCGGCTCTGTCAGGCGGGAACTGGTCCAGCAGGGAGAAACCCGTGGATCCCCAACTGCTCTGCCGTGAGCTGCGACTGTTTCATGTGGTTCCAGCCGTGTGGTGTATTATCCAGGGTTTCAGAGACCCATTAGCAAGACAATCCAACACGTCTCGTTCCCATCTGAACCGGTTCCAGCCTCAGTCCTCTGCCAGCAAGCCCAGCGCGCACACGCACACCCGACTCGAGAACTGGTCTCTGCAGCTCCCTCCTGCCTGCCACCGGCTGGAGCAGACACGAGTCCTGGGGAGAGAGCCGGGGCCATGGCCCTGCTGCCCGTGCGCTCCCCGCCCAGCCTGGATTAGCCGTGCATGTCCAAGGGCCGGGCACCGGCCACAGCCCCCCCAGAGCACAGGGAACTCCTGGCCTGGGTCAGAAAGCTCTTCGGGTGCAGACGGGAACGATGGTGGCCCGGGCAGGGTCCCCACCAACATGGGGGGAAGGTGAACTGGGCACCCAGGCTGCCCTGTGGGAGACACCCTGGCAGGGAAGCCTGCCCAGGCGGAGCTCCCTGTGGATGGGCCTGGGCAGGACGCACTGGGGCCTCCAAGCTAACTGCTGCCGACAGAGCTCGGAGCCCCAGGGGCTGTGCCCGGGAGGTGGCTTGTGTCATCCTCCTGGGGGACGAAGCTGCTGGATACTCCCCGACACCCCCCCCCGCCGGCACACGTGAGGGCAAGCAGGATGCTGAGGACAACTTCCTGACCACGGCTGGTGCACGCACAGGGCTGGGCACGGCCTGCTCCGAGGGAGGTGGCGGGGGCCGGGGGGGACAGCCCGGTGCAGGGGAGGCTGCCGTCCCCTCCTCAGCTGCCCAGTGTCCTGGGTGCTTTGCACACACGGCCTCTGTGGGGCTGGAAGATTACTGCCATCATACCCGTTTCACAGACTGACAAAGGCCCAGAGAGGTGACCTGGCTGCCCGGCTCACCCCGCTGCTGGGGTCTGAGCCAGGCCACGCCCTAGCAGGCTGGCCAGAGCTGCCCCCGAAACACCAGGCCACCACCTCCCCCACAACCCGAAGCCCAGGGCAGGACCCTGGCAGGTCCCGTTCTTCCCTCCCCACTGCCGGGGCCCTGCTCTGCCCACTCCCACCCGGGCGAGCCCTGGACATCAGCCCTGGCGGTGCCACGCAGAGCTTCTGTGTCCGTGGCCACCACAGGACGCGGCCCAGTCCCGCCGTCACGCCATCACATGACAGGACGCCGCCGTGGAGCGTGAAGCAGTGACAGGGCCCTGCAAGGTGTCCCGACTGCAGGACGGATCTGCACAAATCGGTCCCCTCCGCCAGTTATCCCAGCTCCACAGCGAGTGCAGACTTAGCTCGGAAGGAAGGTGGTGGCGAAAGCAACCTACTGCGTGCTCCCGTTCTGCCGACCACAAAGAACTCGGAGCCACCGCGCTGCCCCCTAACAGGCCAGCAGCGGCTCCTCTGAACTCACGGGCGGCCCCTGACCCCACGCAGCCCCACGGGGGCGAGACCACCCTGTGCTGCTCAGAGGAGCGAGTAGCCTGAGGGGCGTCCACCCCACGCTCCTGGTCGGCGCACGGGGAAGACAGTGTGGACCCCGGGGCAGAAAGGAGTGTGGCCAGGCGCTCAGAGCAGCCCCTCTGCCCGCTCCAGGGTGCGGGGACTCCTAGGCAGAGGCAGGGCTGGTCCCTGGGGCCACCTGGCACACTGCAACCCAACAGCAGCGGGTGGGCCGACCAGCCTCACGGTGGCTGCTACCCTGGAGGACCCAGATGAGATGGGAGGAGGTTGTGAGGTCACTGTGTCACAAGGGCCAGCAGCTGAAGCCAGGGAAGCTGGGCAGGTGTCGGGAGTGGTGCAGAGCGGCTCGTGCTACCGAAGGGAGGTGCTCCCGGCAGCCGATGCCAAGCCCACCACAGCAGTCCCTGGCGTGGGGTCTTGGAGATTCAGTGCTGCACTCAGGGCCTCACATCAAGTGATGTCACTTCCCTGGCCTCAACTCCTCACTCCGAGGAAGGGCCCCGGGCTGTCTGGATGAGTGGGTTTGTGTGACGCACCTGGAGGAGGAAACGCCCGTCTGTACCTTCAGCCGGGGGTGTGGGAGTGTCTGGCTCGGAGCTCCTGCCCTGGAGGCCGCCCCTGGTCCAGAGGGCTTAGGGGCCGGGCAGGGGAGCGGCGCACGGGCGGCAGACAGCGTCAAGGACCTCGGGATGGCGCACTGGGCAGCCGCGGTTCGAGGGGGTGTTCGGGGTGCGGGGTGACCTGCACCAACATTTCTTCTCAAGGACGTGGGCCGGCCACCCTGACAGTGGGCCCCCGGACAGTGGGGGGCAGGACAACAGGCACGGGAGCAGCGGTGGCACAGGGGCTGGGGAGTCACTCCCAGGGCTCGGCCTGTAGCAGGCTGGGCTGCGCCGGTTTGGCTGGGTGGAGGCAGACCTTTCCCAACCCCACAGGGAATTGCATGCTGTTTTGTCCTCTGGACAAAGCCAGGCCCCTGGGGGTGGGGGGCAGGGCATGGGGGTGCTCCGCCTAGAGGGATCTGAGGGGCAGAACCTCCCAACACCATTCCCTCTTCGGATGGGGCCTCCACCCTGCATGAGAGTCACCAGACCTGCAGGGACAACCCACGGCATCAGTCCCCACCCCACTCTGGTGCCATCTCCTCCGCCTGCCTTGCCGTCTCCCCAGGGAAGGGTTTCCAGAATGCACCCGGCCTGCGGCGGGCGCCTGCTCTGCTGGGCAGCCCCCAGTCGCTCCAGCTGCCCCCTTCTCGTGCCGTGGCACCCCTGGGGTTCCCACCTCCAGCACATGGGCCCCATGGGAACCTCATCTGCTCCGGGTGGCCACGGTGGGGGAGGGGCGTCCTTTCGCACAGCCAGAGCAGGTTCTGTGCCTCTTGAGGAAACTGATGTAGGCCAGCGCTTCTGAGAAACAAGTAACCTCACCGTCACAGCAACCACCTGGAAGAAGCCACAGCAGGTGCGAGGGGCCTGGGAGCTGGAGCCACAGCCTGCGGCCAGACCCAGATCAAGCAGGGAATGGGGACTGCCGGCCCCCAGGGAGGGTCAAAGCCCCCATCCCAGGAGCAGACGGGCAAGCAGGAAAACCAAGGATGGCTGTCCGCACGGCAAACTGCAGAAAACTAGGGCCAAGAGATAAAAACCCCAAAGCATAATGGAGCAAACAAAATGTTTAAAATAAATCTAATTAAAGCCCCCCGATGGGGAAGATTCAGGGTGTCTGTGTAGCACCATCCACATGGCAAGCCTGGGACGGCCATCCTGAGGCCAGGGGCGGGCATCTGGACACTTGGATTTGGGGAGCTCTGCCACCCTGTCTCACAGGGACGTTTGTGCAAACCGCACGGTCTATGCTGAGCATCCGCTCCGCTCCGAGTCCGGAATCTTGGCACATCCAGGCAGAGGGCGCCCTCGTGACCACCCCATGGCCAACCCCGGACATCCCTGCCGAGCTCCCTGGCGGACACCATCACAAGCACTGTCACAGCCACTTGCTGGGGGGTCAGCGCGTCCTGTGAACCAGCCCCTTCCCCCAGCACTCTGGAAACGCGCCCCTGGTTCCCCCCGACTCAGCCGGCACACTGGTTCCCTCTGGTCATCCTGCTGTTCTCTCGCTGGGGGAAATCACAGCCAGGGACACCGTGACCCCTGTGTCCTGCGGGGAGTCCTGGTTCCCCCCGACTCAGCCGGCACACTGGTTCCCTCTGGTCATCCTGCTGTTCTCTCGCTGCGGGAAATCACAGCCAGGGACACCGTGACCCTCTGTGTCCTGCAGGGTGTCCTGCAGAGTCACTGTCCCTGGGTGGTCTTGGAGACCCCCAACGCAACACTGCATTAGAGCTCTAAGATAGTACAAAGCACGGGACAATGCTGAGGCGGTCAGCCGAACACGGTGCCAGGAGGGTCTGGGAGCCAGGTCCCAGCCGGGCTTGACGCAAACCCGGGCCCTGGCCAAGCCTGGGGCCCCATCACAGAGAACGTTTCTGAATGAACAGAGACAGACACGAGATTGCAAAGGAAGGAAAACCAACTATAAGTACCACGCAGTGGCAGGAATCTGCCTCTTTACTAATGCACTAAACAAAAAGATTTAGAGGCAGACCTGGTAATGGCTGTAACCTCAAAGTGCGATGAGAGTGAGCTGTGCTCTGAGGCACCCACAGAACTGCAATGTGACCTGCATCCTGCTGGTGTCCACTGGTGACAAGTCACAGGTGCCATCCTACCACGTCCGACGATAGTGCTTGCCTCAGTTTCAGGTTGGTGAGCACACACATTGACACTCAAGTCACAGACCCCGACCAAGAAAACTGAGAATCCCAGAGAGAGGGCAGAATGAAGGGAAGCAAGCAAGAAACAAAGGGAGCAAACTGTGCAGGGCTAACACACGGCTTCGGAATGAAATTCCTGGTGAGGAACCCTGGTGCCGTGTGTCAGCCTGGACAGTCGGGCTGCGTGCCGCCCTGTGCCCGTCCAGGACCAGCCACCAGGACCTGGTCTTAGACTTCTACCTCATTGTATGAAAATACGACAAAGAAAAACACACTGCAGAATGGGGGAAAATATAGAACTTTATTTTTAACATAGTAATTAAATTCCACAACAGAATGGGGACACTATGGGGTTTTTTTTCATTTAATAAATACAAATGAATAAAAATACTTTGTTTTGTAAAGAGACTGCCTCTCCTCCCTCCCCACATCTCATGGAAGCCCACAGGTGGTCACGTGCCCCTCTGGGCCCACCCGGGTGGCCCCACACGCATAGCCTCGCGACTCACGCACCACCGTCTCCACTCTGGAGAGGACACATCCCAACTGACTGCAAATACTATTTAGGTACAACACCTCCCTCCCCAGCCCCTTCCAAACACACGTTCCTGTATTGCATTTCGGATTTTAAATGACTCTCTTCTGAGAAGGAAGAATCCGCATCCACAGAAGCGGAAACTGCCAACATCTTGACGCCAAGGGTGAGTCCCAGACAACGCACGCTGGACCCACCATGGAAGGGAAGGAGAAGGAGCATGTAAAAGCTATTGTATGCCTCATAGACCATCCCTCATTTCAAAAATAGAAATTCCTATTTAAAGTGACCCTGTCTGAGACGGGCCGAGTGTTAGATTCTGCATGCCACAGATCTGTTATTGCTTGTGACGTGACCTGGCCGCGCCGTGCTGCTCAGCTGCCCGTGCTGGAGAACGCCGGAACCGAATCGAATGCATACATCACGAGAAAGCGCTGTCTCCACGCTGGGGCTGGGAGCCCCCAGGCCCACGTCCACGAGCACCGGTCGTGGGGGATAAGGCACTCCTCTGAGCTAGGAAATGGGGGCGTCCCTCCTGACTTCCAGCTGCCAAGAATGATCTTTGTGCCAGCAGTTAAATGCCTAGCGCAAGCACAATGTTACAAAATCCTACAGCTTCTCGTTTCTTAAAACTAGGGAAGAAAAACTCCTGCAGACCCAGAAGAAACTTTCGCCAACACTCTAAGGCTCCCCTGTCCCTGCCCCAGTGCACTGGGGACTGAGACCTAACTAACTCCTAACTAACCGAGACGCTTTGGCGGACAGGATCAGGAGGAAACTGTCAGTCTGACCGTCTGTGTGATCTGCAATAAACTTCCTGTCTGTGTACCCCATTTCCTATCAATCCACATTTTTAACAGGTATTTCCTGAAAGCATTTCTAAGTGTGATGGTTTATAATACTCAACAAACGTAAAAGATGCCAACAGATTATGAGAAAAACATTTGCTTGTAAAACAGGAGATCAGGAAGAAGGGGCCGAGCTCGGCTGCAGAGCACTGGGAGGGCCACGCAGAGTGTCACCCCTTCCCGTAATCAGCTGCAGGCCCCTGTCCTCAGGAGCACGGCTGGTGCGCACCATCCCTGGACGTCTGGCACACCCGGCCCCCAGCCCAAGAAGGAGGGGCCCCGCAGGAAGTCAGGAACAGCTGGGTTTGTCGGTGCTTCGGCTGGGAGAGGTAGTGACGACAGCTTTAACAATCTACCTGACCGCCTTGCAAGGAATACTTTAAACTGCAGAAAGCTGTCAATATTCTACATAAATCATAACTTCGGAAGAGAAGCCTGTTTGGGGTGAGAAAATAATAATAATAATAAAAAAAGATGCTATGGTTCTTGCAAGTCTGCCTTTTTGGTACCAGCACAGAGTATCACTGTCACTGAGTGTTCCCAAGGAGAACGCGGAACTGTTGGTGGTGTGTGTTTACACGCATGTGCAGGAGCACACGTCTGTGCGCACGCGCCAGGTGAGGTCTCAGAGCCCCAGAGACTTCTGCACGATCTGCTTGGCAATCTTGTAAAACTGCTCCCGGTCATCCCGCCACATTTTGGAAGCATCCACGTTAGCGCCGCTTTCATCGTTGGGCTCTGAAAGGAAAGGGGAACGCTCTCTGTTTTAGACGGTCTCGGAAGTAAGGCACTTGGCGAGAACTTGCGTCTCACTTAAAAGCACTGATGGCCGCGGTGAGCTATGATCGCACCACTGCACTCCAACCCGGGCCACAGTGCAGGACCCTGTCTCAAAAAAATAAAAATAAGAAAAAAATAATAAATTAAAAATTAAAACACTGATGTTCCTTTCAAGAGACCCTGAGAACCGGATCGAAGCCTGCACTGCTCCTGGACTGGGGGACACGCCTATCTCACGACAGAAAGACCCGTCTGGAAACTCCTGGGCTCTGAGTGTCTGAGGACGCCAACACCAGTCATTTTGGTTTTTGTTTGTTGTTGTTTTGTTTTTCCTGACTTATCAAGAAAACCAGTCATTTCTGTCATGCTCTGAAAATCGATGACAACCCAACAGGCCCACGCAGGCTTGCGCGAGACCAGGCTGGGCTGCCACGTCTGCTGCACTTGGAGAAGCTGCACAAGCCACCACTGCGCACCTCACCTTTCTGGAGACACCCTGTGGTGGTCACTTCTCTCTCACAGAGACCCTGCGCAGTGAGTGGCCCCTCACAGCTCCTCCCAGGACCACCCAGGCAGACGTGCAGCCCCAGGTGGACACTGGCCCCACCCGCTGGCCAGGAGCGCCAGCAGTCACCGCAGTGGGGCCTGCCGGGAAGGCACCAGAACAGGAAGTGACGTGGCCCTGGTCAGAATGCCTGAACGGACTGGCCAGAGTTTACAAGGGTACACATCATGGCTGACGTCTGCAGACAGTCTGAACCCCCGCCTCCCTCCCGATCCTCCCCACCCCACCCGCAGGCAGCAGAGCTCCGCGCCTGCCCTGAGAGCACGTGCGCACTGCAAGCCCGGCCCCACGTCCCTCAGCAGCACGCTCCACCGGTGCCCGGACAGTGGCCTCCAACAACGGGGCAGCCTCGCTCCGGTGCCCACCCTCAGGGCCTCCTGCCAGCATGTGCTTGCCTTCTGGACGTTTCTCCCTTTGTGTCTGTGGCATTTTGTTATCCCAGCTTCCCAGATCACCCGCCTTGGTTCCTCCGAGGGCTCTCCTCCCACACAGTCGCGCTTTGCCCCACACCGTCACCTACAGCCTGGTCCAGAAATGACCCCACACCCCACCCCTGTGGGCACACAGAGGGCCCTTCTCCCACATGCCTCAAACTCTTCCCCAAATCCTGCTCTCTGTACCCGAGCACAGAGGCAGCAGCCTCAGCCTGGTGTCAGAAACAGGCGTGACGCCCCAAAAAGCGTCCCGGAGCCCGCTCCTTCCAGGTCTCCCACGCCCAGCCCTTCTTCCCCTTGGCCCTGGGACCATGCGCGCCCTTCTCTCGCGTCTCCCAGGCAGTTCCTCCTCCAGTCGCGCCACCCAGCAGCTGCCGCACAGACGCTCTTTCTAAGGCATGGCTCGGATTGTGGCACCCCCACCCAAGCTCCCAGGGTCACCAGGCTCCCAGCTGAGCTCCCCTGCCGCCCCCTGCCTTGGCTCAATCCAGGACGCGCTGCAGTGCCCCGTCCGTCAGCCACCTCCTGCCCCTGGGCCTCAGCCCCAGCTGCCTCCTTCTTCCCAAAATCTTTCCCTTCTCCCGCCAACCCCGCCATCTCCTCACGGCCTACACTCAAACCACACAGCCCACCAAGGCAGGTGGCCAAGAGCCCCCGTGTGCATTCTGACTTGGGGTTATCAGACTGGCTCGTAACCGCAGGTGCATTTGGAAAGTTCCCCCAGAATGTAGGACCTTAGAGTTGGGGTCTCTGCCACACCAGCCTTGCACAGCCCCACTACAGTGCGTGGCACATGGTGTGTCCCCAAAACGCCTACTGATTAAGGACATGCCCCAGGGCTAGGGAACAGTTAATCATGGTCAACAACACGACACGCCCCACCAGGCTGTCGCTGAGATGGATCACCACAGAAGTACGCTTGCACCTGGAGAAGCGCACTTGGCCTCACCTGCCAGCATGCTCACCACCGACAGCAGGATCTTCTCCACGCTCTGCACAGGGCTCCACCGCTCGGCGCTGCTCTCGTAGCCCATGGGGTCATCGCCCGGCGCGTGGAGGATGGAAATGCACACTCTCCCGTCGGGGTAGACTGCAAGAGGCAGAGTGGCCGGGTGAGCCCGGGGAACGGTGCCTGAGGCGGCACTGCGCGGGCCGGCTCCCCAGATGAAGAGAACGAGGGCTACAGACACAGAAGCCGAGCTGTTTGCACAGCTGGGCACAGCCCGGGGCCCTGAGCGTCATGCTTCCCGTGGCTCGGATCCCAGCGGGGCCTCGCACGGCCCGGCTCACTCACTGGCCCACCCAGTTCTAACCAGTCACAGTACGACTCCGTCTTCGTGCAAAGTTTTTAGGCATTATAACTTTTTATTTACTCTTTTTGGTTATCTGGCAAATACTTCATCAAAATTTCTAATGTCATTATTATTATTCATAATACTTTCCAGTGCAAGTTTCTTAGAGCCAGTTTCTTCCTAATCGGCCATTAAATCCCTGAACTGGACTATTAAAATTTACATTCACATGGCTTGAAAAGGCAACTGGAATCATTCGAACATCCAGAAGAAGAAAGGTGCCGAGACTTCTCGTGGAAACCTCCTCTAGCAGAGTGGTGGTCACCAGGACACCTGCAGGTCGGCGTCCAGACAGGCCCCTCCCCCAGCGCCACCACGGGACCCAAGTCTGACAGGGAGAGGCGATGTTCAGCTCACAGCAGGTATCAGTCCCACCAAGGAAGCGGAAAGCATCTCTTATCTCTTACTTTCCTCTGACACACACAGGGGAAATCCTCGGACGGCCCAATATGTACTCAGATGTCCAGCGATGCACATGGACAGACTCAATGGTAACATCATAAAGCCATTTATTATGTAACAAATGATAATCTAAAATGCATTTATTTCACTCACTTTATTCATGAGTTCAGAATTCCGTGAAAATTAAAAAATGCTGAGAGTTACCATTTGCCTCCACATGGCCTTGTCTTTTATACTGGGCCCCTTATTTTTCCCATTCATCTACTGTCTTAGCGGTTGCTGCTCTTTGGCTATCCAGGAACCAGACCACAGATGCTCGTGCACTCTTGTCACAGGCATTGACATACACCTGTAGTCCACGACATGGAGCCCGAACACCTAGAGCTCTCTGAACCATCCTTTCTGACACAGGAGAAGAGCAGACGCCAGGAAATTTCCCACTGCAGCGTCACCTCAAGGTGACTGTACCAGGCAGTAACACTGCACATCCAGAAACATCCAGGGCCAAGGGGTCCCTGCCACAGCCCCTCTTCACCATCCCCATCAGTCCCACCTCCTACACAGCTTGGGGCTCACCCACGCCCTCCATCTTCAATGCCCACACTCGGCTCCACGCTGCCGGCATGGACCCCAGACACTGCAGCCGAGGCCTGCCCAGGTGTCTTCCATCTGCTCTCTGCTCACTACAGCCAGGGACCCTTCAGAGACCACTCTGGCTACATGACTCCCCCGCACCTGCTTGGAACCCTGCGGTGGGTCTCTCAGCCCCTAGACAAACATGAAAACCTTCCACACACTGACTGGTTTGGCCCCTGCCTTCCTGTCCCCTCACTGCCTACACAGGCCTTTGCAACGCTAGATCCTGCCTCCTCCCGCCGCGGCCACCGGGGACTCCCACTTCACCTCCCGCAGGCAGCGCTCTGCAGGGCGCGTCCTGGCCCATCCTGCGGTGGCTGTGGATTTATCCATGTGATTCTTCCGTCAGTGTCTGTCCCTGTCCTCAGGCTGGACACTCCTGATGCACCTTTGTTACCTGCTCACTACCGTATCCCAACAACTCTCAGGAATGGGAATTATTTTTATAGGTATTTATCAACTGATCAATTTCTATGACATTGGTAGAACCTGATTCTTAGCAATTATTTTTACAAAATAAAAATACATATCCACTTATAACAAGGCAAAATTTTAAAGCCATGCGAATTATCTAAACATTAAAAATAACTATCAGAACACTAAACATTGGATCAGACTATTCTCAGTACACTGTCACACATTTAATCAGTTTCCACCCTATTTGTCTCTAATACCACGCTGTAGGTATTGTGCTGAAGAGTGCATTTATCTTCAACACAATCTCATTGTTTTTAATTACCTATAATCCTCTTCATAGTTGCACTTATGGTCGAACAATTTGGAATTGTTGACTTCTTCAATGACTTTTTATCTATGAACCATATATATTTAACTCTTTATTATGGAGCATTCCAAAGCACACTAAAGCAGACAGCAGCATGATGAACCTCCACACACTTATCACCCGGCAGCGACAACCACGGGCTCCTGGCCCACCTTCCTGAAGGAACAGCGGTTTATGAGCATCTTCTGTGTACACGGGGCTGAAATACACTGGTAAGAAAAGCCGTGCAGCACAGGCTCTCCGAGGAGGAGGCCTGCTGCCTACATACATCACCACCAGCAGCAGCCCACGAGAAACTGACATGAGGGTGTGCATGGCAAGTCCAGTAACAAAGAGAGCTCCCGCCGGGCTCCATGGCAGGAAGGGTCTGGGCAGGCGCTGCCCAGAGGGGCACAGAGTGGAGAGAGTGTGCCAAACGGACACATTCTCAAATCAAGAGAGAAGTCAGAGACTCAAAAAATTCGATAAACTCTCTCATGAGTTAAACTAGTCTTTAGCTATTTGATATGCAGAAGAGTGTAGGATAAGGCATTGGCAAATAAGTAACTTTCATTTTTACAAAACAGAATATCTTACTTGCTTTTCTTCTCCATAGCTACTAAGATTGTGATTACTAGTGGCAGTAATAATCATTTATAACAAGAAATATTTTTCTAAATACTATCTTTGACGGCATATTTCCTTATTAACTCTCTTACACATAATCCCCACTTGTAAAAGGAAGAAAGAAACTACAGCTGTGCAGGAATTCTAATCCCCACCACTGGACGCATTTCCAAATAAACTACAGTATAATTTATTTAAGTGAACTTATTTTTTCCTCTTCTTAAAAGTAATACACGTTGGCCAGGTGTGGTGGCTCACGCCTGTAATCCTAGCACTCTGGGAGGCCAAGGCGGGAGGCTCACTTGAGGTCAGGAGTTCAAGAAGAGCCTGCGCAAGACCCTGTCTTTATTAAAAATAGAAAGAAATTAGTTGGACAACTAAAAATATATAGAAAATGAGCCAGGCATGGTGGCACATGCCTGTAGTCCCAGCTACTCAGGAGGTAAGAGGATTGCTTGAGCCCAGGACTTTGAGGTTGCTGTGAGTTAGGCTGACAGCATGGCACTCTAGTCCAGGCAACAGAGTGAGACTCTGTCTCAAAAAAAAAGTAATATATGTTTATTTTAGGGGGGAGAAAAGATTTATAAAAAGGAAATAATAATCTCCATGAGGGAAAAAACAGTCACTTTTAACATTTTTGTGCTCACCTTTCAAGTTATACATACATTTACATGTGAATTTTTTTAAAAGATGAAATTATAACATTCCTACTGCTTTTCCCAGTCAATACAGTATAAATATTGCTTCATATCACTATTAATTTAGATCACTTTAAATATCTACATCACATTCCTAACATGCAATTTATTTATCATAATTCTCACGTTGAAAACCTAGACCAAGTCCAACTTTTTCACCATGAAAATCGACACTGTGACAAAGACGAGGGCAGCCCGCTCTGAGCACACACCGTGTGTCAAGCTTCTCCTAGCCTCCCCAGCAGAGCATGACAGCTGGGTCAGATGGCATCCATAGTTTCAGGTTCGTATTTTCTTTTATCTACATTAAACTGACCTTCAACATTGAAATCAGGTGTTAATGCCACAACGATGCCTTTGCTAAACTTCAAAACATAAGAAAAATTTTTAAAGGTCTACTTCACAGATATGCTATATTTCCTTAAGCTATATAACCTCTGTGTCTCTCCAGGTACCACAAGAACCACTCCCGAAAGCACTTACTGTTGGGATGAAACATCTCACAGGTAAACCTCATCTTTGGGGGACTTAACGGGTAATCAAGTGGGAAGCTCAGAATGGCGGGAAAAACACCAAACTCAAAACAGGTGTCTTCTGGGCCCCTGGAAGACATAAAAACATGTAGTCAGAACTTCAAGGTACATTTTTCAACGTTTACCACAATGAGCTAAGGAAATTTTTACTGCTTTACTGCTCATGAAAAGATTATCTATTCTAAATAATGATGAATAATAATGAATTGGTTCTTTTTTTCTAAGTGGAAAGAAAATATCTTGTCCTCCGATTCCAATCTGGTTTAAATCTTAGGTATGAGCACAAACACTGCATTACAGCCAGTTTTTACAGTAACAGAGGGAAGAGGCAGGCAAAGAACCTCTTTATATTCATAATAACGGGATCAGAGAAAAGAACGAATGCCAGGATGGCAAGATCCTGGGGATTTAGTTTTTCTGTAGATGTGGTAAATTACATTTTAGGATAAAGCTATGAATTATGGCACGTCACAGCAAGATTCTATTGTGCTTCGATAAATGAGGGGCCAACAGTTGTATTTCAAAGACTATTTTTTGTTTCTAAACATGCATGAGAAGTGACTTTTGTAACCTTCAAGAAGCAGATGAAGAGTACACACACGGTCACTCACTCACACTCAGTGTGAAAGGCCAGGCGCGTACACACACACTGTGACCCCAGGCTGCGCCCATACTTCAAACAATGCACCATCACCGGCACAAACACACACACATGCGCACTCCTCCCTGCATTTACGTTTTCCTCCTGTGTAAATGGCACAAATAGGCTAAACCATTTCAGAAGTCCTGCCCAAATGTTAAAGCCCAACATGCATAAATTAATACCATTTGACCGATACAAGACTCGAAGGCAGCAGGAGAGAAAGAGTGGCAGCCACCCAGCCGACGCCCTCTCAGGAGAGAGGGGCTCCTCTTCCCTACAAATTTCATCAGGAAAACACATTAGTGTTCAAAGATCACAAACAATATTATGTGAGTTTAATAAGAAAACACAGCTGCTGAATGACAGCTGTGGACAAGGAAACAACAGAAGTTACTCCAGGTATGAACTACCACATCAGTGAGTAAGAAAGTAAACCCTGTCTATTAACATGGACTGAGAACCAGTCCCTGCATCAATAGCTCTGCCTCTCCACACAGCACCTGCTCAGGCACAAGGAGCGCCTCTGTAGGCCAGGCCTAGGGGACCACAGGAGGGCTCAACACCAGACCTGCTGCCTTCAAAATGAATCCCAGATATGGCACAGAAAAAAACAATGAAAATATATTTATCCCAAAGCTTCATTTAAAAAAAATAAGATTAAAGTACATATTTGTTTTAAAATCTTAATAATAAATGATTTTGGTTTAGCGAAATTCATAAAAAATAGATATGAAAATATTAGAAGCAATATTTATCTCCACAATTAAACAAAAAAGAAGCTGCACAAAGAGCTTCACTATTCACTTGGTGGTGGCACTCGGGGCTGCCGACGGCACGGCAGCAGACCTCGAGGCCCCATGGGGCCAAATGCTCAAAATGAGAACAATGCGGTCCTTGTTTCCCAGAGCCAAACCTTTTTTAATCTAAGAGACAAATCTTGATTCTGAAAACTGTGTCCTTGCTACTTTTTGGATAGTGAATAGCTACTTTGTTTGGAAGGGCTGAATGTTCCTGCAGGATGCCCCCTGGAGCGTTGGCCCGGGACCAGGCCAGGGAACGCCACTGCAAGTGGCACAGCAGGAGGCCTGGCTACCTGCACAGCAGTAGAGTGGACCAGGAGCTGCAGAGGGTAGACCAGGTGACAGCCCACCACTGCCCGGTGGCCTGAGTCCTTCTGTTCCTCCTGCAGTCGCCTGACCAGATGCCCTTGAAGCCCTTTCCTCCTAACACAGGCCAGCATAGACTGTACGTAGACAGGAGTGGCGTGTGATCACCCCCAGCCTCTTGTCCAGTGCAAGAGCTCAAAGCACATCACAATCCTACTCCCTTCCTACTCCTCGTGGCCTCCTGATCAGAGGGTAGCAGGGTTTGCTGTTTCATTTTACTGGTAAGCAAAGCTGGCAAGTCCAAGGATGACATGACTTCGTCAAGTTCCGGAATGAATTTGGTACTGGAGCTAAGAACAGAACATAGTTCAGACTGCTGACCACAAAGCTGGGCGCGCGAAGATACTATGCTGGAATGTGGCACTGTTACCATGTCAGGAACACCTGCCAGTTCTCCAGCATTGCTGGCAGCTCTGAGTCTACAATAAGAAAAAATGTCTGGGTAGTGTTTCTGGAATGAGCCAAATGGCATTTGCTCAATACTTTGATAACCGTTCTTTGTGTCTCATAATAAGGCTTTCTTTACAATTGTATTTAGAAAGATCCACTGGGTCGTTGGCAGCCTCAGAAGCACGACCAAACATTTCCTAAAGTGCGCCCACATCTCATCAAAGACATCAAAGCCATCTGCAAATGCTCTGTTCACCACTGGCTTGAAACTGGGGTTTTCTCGATTCCAGAATGCCCGGTGGGCAGACAAGCACGTGGTGGGCACTGGTGTGCAGCAGCACGCCTCTCCTCTGCGGAAACCACCACCTCCTGAACCGAGGGAGGGTGACATCATCAGCGTTTTTTAGACAAGTTCCTCTGCCATGCTCCTGTACAACCTCACCTCTCTCACTGAAGATGGCCCCACTTCAAAATCTTCAAAAGAACGAACAAACAAGAAGGAAACACAACAAATTTATCCAAAGCAAATATAAACTTGTTGAAGCCTGCAAATTATTTTCCATCTTATTGATTAAAGTAATGTCATAAATTATTCCAGAGCTGAGACAAGATGTAGAGCATTTATTTTCCAAAACAAGCCCTGAAGTGAAGCATCATGACCACGCTGCACTCCACACAAGAAGTCACACTGCGAACAGCTCGCTTCCCTGTAAAGGGGAAACACATGCAAAACCAAACACCAAAAGAGCAACACCCCTGGTCTAACCCTGACCGTGTCAGCAATTCCCGCTCCTCACGGAGGAGGAGGCCTCCCACCTCGCCGTGCCCCCAGAGCTGCGCCGCTTCAATCACGCATCAGCAACATCAGTCCTGTACCAAGCCGATGACAATCAGAGATGAGCTCCTTTATCTTTCAACATTAACTCACGTGCAGAATTGTTCTTGGCTTTTGCCTGCTAACACTGTCACTCTCTGGATAACAAAGCAGCAGACAGGCCTACACACTGAACACAGCGGGAGGGTCGGCGAGACTTATCGAGTAACCAGGGCGAGTCCAGTGTAACTGAGCCATGTGCCCACCAGGTGTGTTCCAGGACCTCAGTGAGCATGTCACTAGGCAGCAGGCAGGTGCTGGAGAAGCGGACTCTGCATGCTGCTGTTCTGTTCTTTAGCATGTCTGTCACAGCACACAGACAAAACATCTCTAACATACATGTGGCAAGGTATAAAAACCATGGGGACTATAAAGCCAGTCATTAGTATTTAAAACCTGAATGGACTACTCAGGGGTGGCTACTCCCCAGAAGGCATGAGCAGAAGACATAAAGGCAGCCTGCTACTAAGCACCCTCCACTCTGGGGCGGGAGGCCCCCGCGCCCGCTTGCTGCAGAAGCCACAGCAAGGATCCAGCAGGGAGGGCCACGGGGCACGTGGGGTCAGAGCGTGGGCGCGTCTCCTTCCTTCAGCCTCTGCCCTGCAGTTCAGCAACAGCTTCCTGCCAATGCTTCCCCTCACTAATGCCCGGGGCAGGGCGACCAAGATGGGCCGTAGGCACAGCCCCCATGCCGGCCACCTTAACAGTCAAGACACTGGTTCTGCTGTGCCCCACCAAGTTGTGGCACTACACTGGGCCCCGGCCTGTGATGGACATGGAGATCCTTGCTTCCTCTCTGTCAGATTGTAGTCTAGGTGCCCCAGGTGGTTCTCACGTAAAGAAGCAATGCTAAGAAATGCGGGAAAGAACAAAAGGGTCCTCCCATTTCAGGAAACCGTGGTAGCAGCAAATACAGATTTTTAGTCCATGTAAGCATCTTCATGATTAATCTATTCAAAAGGAGTCTACAGCAAAACCTTCATTATTTTTTTGCAATACAGATATTTCTAAAAAACTTTAAGTCAAATATATTTGAATTATATTTAAAGTGCACTAGGTAAATTCATCAATTTTAAGAACTTTATAGTAAATTCTAAAGTAGACAATCACTTTTACAACATAAACTTTAACCTTATTTAACTAGAAAAATATATGTTGGAAAATATTCAAATACAGAAGTATATAAAATAAAAAGCAAGTACTTCCCTCATTGCCCTTTATGAAGTCACCTCCCAAGGTAACCACTATTAATAGTGGTTACTGTTCCAGGCTTTTCCCTATGTGAGTATAAATATAAACTCACATACCCTCACCCATGAAACTGGATTTTGTGAAATTAAAATGCATCACAGGATTTCTGAGAATTCAAAAACACCTAAATAAATGAAGAGAAGTTCCACGGTAATGGATTAGAGTGTTCACTATTGCGAAAACAGCAATATTCCTCAAACTGATCTAAAGAGTCAATGCAATCACTATTAAAACCCCAGCAGGCATTTTCATAGAAATTGACAAGCTGATCTTAAAATGTATATAAAAATGCAAAGAACCCAGAGTAGCTTACGTAGCCTTGAAAAAGAAAAACACACTTGGAGGACTTACATTTCCCAGTTTTGAAATTTACATAAAGCTGCAATAATCAAGAGAGTGTGGTACCAGCATGAGGACAGGCATTGATCAATGGAACGGAACTCAAAGTCTACATGTAACCCCTGCATTTTTGGCCAGTTGATTTTTGACAAAGGTGACAAGATTATCCAATGGGGAAAGGATTGTCTTTTCAACAAATAGAGCAGAGACAACTGGTCTCCACACACTAAAGAATGAAGTAGAGCCCTGCCTGATTCAATACAAAGAAACTAACTCAAAATGATCAAAGACTTAACTGAAAAAGCTATAAACTATAAAACTTCTTAAGGAAAAAAAAAAAGAGAGAGGCCGGGCGTGGTGGCTCACGCCTGTAATCCTAGCACTTTGGGAGGCCGAGGCGGGCGGA